TTTTTTTTTTTTTTGCCATCAGTTTTCTTTACCTCCTGTCTTCTTCTTTCTTTCTTTTTTTTCTTTTTTTTTTTAATTAGATAATATGTTATACAATATGATATAGCCCTCCTCTTCCCTTATCCTTCCTTATCCATCTTAAGATTTGAACTCAAAATCTTTAATTTAAAATTTTAAATTCCTAATCACTTGAAATACCTCTTTGGGCATTTTGGTTTCTCTCTTTTCTCATATCCTTGGTTAATTTGAAAATAAAGATCATATTTTTTTTACATTTATTTAATTTAAACCGAACCGTATCTTAGAGAAGATTCAATTTTTTGAGGAAGGTAAATCTTTTATATATATATATATATATATCTTAAATTACATAATAAAAAATAATTAATTTTTATCCATTAACTTGATGTGCATCTTGAAGTAAAAAAGACAAACCTTATTATGACATGTGTAAGTTAACTTGCAGATATTACCTCACCGTATGCTTTAAAAGTAAGCCAGAAACTCTTTCAATCAATGCCTCTTTTACAGGAGATGAAAGTTTGACTTGTTTGTTGAATCAAACTTTCAAGAGGACACAGTAATGTAGGCCATTTATTATTCCATGTAAAAAGAATGTAGAAAGAAAGAGATGAAGAACATAATTGGATGCCTCCCTTTTTTCTTTTTTTTTTTAAAGGATAATTAATGAAAAATTTCTTATTACTAACAATGTATTCAACAATATCGGCAGACGTTTTAGGAGCACGAGACTTGAACCTACACCACACATAAAACTCAAAACTCAAACATGCATATTTGTGATAACATGAAACTCATAATTTGTAGGGCCCAGACCCATATACTCCCCCCCGTTAGATTTAGTTGTTTTATTTGGATTTTTTTAATAAAATTTGATTAAATAAATTTATATAATAAATAGATAAAAATTAAAAAATTTTGTCTTTCTATTTATAGGTTTTGTAGAGTATTTTTACTTAAATCAATTTTTTTTAATTATTATTCATTTACCATACATCAAGTTAATTTACAAAAAATTGAGAGAGTAGGATAACTAAAAATTACAGGAAGGAGTAACTCTTTGTAATCTAATTTAATAAACTCAAAATACATTTCTACGATTAGATATTTCACTAGTAAATAAGTAACATCTTTTAAATCAAGTAGAAGGTTTAAGTTTTAAGACAATAAAAAACAATGAAATTAATTTTTTAAAATACAATAAGTTGACGTGGGATGCACTCTTAATATTACTACAAAGAAATTAGTTTTGAGCAGTGTGCAATATAGATAGCATGAGGACCATGACCGTCCAAAACAAAAATAATTAACAAATTACAATATAAAAAACCAGATAACTTTCTATAATCTAAGTTCATAAATATTAATTAACTCGTATATTTATTTGGGCATTTCTTTGGGTACATAGAGGCAACACTTGTGCTTGCATATGTCTATATATCCATTTATTTAGTCATACAACAAAATTAAACAACTTAAATGCCCTTATTTTTCCTACTTCATTAATTAAAATTGACTGGATATTTAAGCTGCTTGTTTGGAGAAAACAGCCCCCAGTGTTTTTCATACTCCGGTTCCTTGTTATTCTCATCAAACATGGCGAAAATGTATGTCTCGATGGGCTTTCCAGGCTTCTTCGGAGTCCCTCCCTTCACATGTTGAATCAGATTGTTGTTATAAGTCCGTGCATTATCAACCGTCGTCGCCGTTCCACCGGCGGTAGGCCAGCCACTCTCTGATACAACAATCTCTAAATTGCCTCCACCGGACTTCTCAAGCGCAGCATAGACTGCGTCAAGAATTGCATCGAAAAGATTATGGTATTGTAGAGGCCCGTCTTGCACCGCTGGCGCCGGAGTCGCGAAGAGGGCGTAATTAAGGGAGATGTCCTTAGGGTTGGCAATGTAACTGAAGTAAGGGTACAAGTTGACCAGCAATGGAGCTTGTGTGTTCACCAAGAAACGGATTAGAGGGTTGAGAATCGACATATATTCGCCCTTGAAAGACCCCTTGGACGGAGGGAAAGATTCTCCGAGAGTCCCGGTGTCGATCGCCGTGGAAACTTTGATTCCAAGTCCGGCAGCCACAAGTGCATTTCGGATGTTCTGCATGGCGGGGACTAGAAACTGTGCAAAAGAATCCGAGGGCTTAACTTCGTTCCCGACCGCTATGTAGCGGAACTTAACGTTAGCGTAGTTCTTGACGTTGTTTTGGACCCAAGCGTTGGCATTGTCCTGGCTGGCGGCGATGCGTTGGAGATCGGTGTTGGGGACGCCGAGCATGACCTCAATGTTGGTGCCTCGGAGGGCTTGGAGCGCGGCTTGATCCGGGTTGTAGAGTCTCATCCTTCGGATGTTGTATTGGTTGTAGAGAGCTATGACTTGTGGGGGGGACGGTAAGTTGTTGCCAAGCATGCCATAGCAAACACCAATTTGGGCACCTGCATAAGATTGAATTCAACAACAACTTATATAATTAACCATTAATTTAATTTTTCTTAAATTAACTTTAGGTTGTGATTAATCTAGTATTGTTAAAATTTAAAGAATATAAATTAAAAACAAAAAATAACAATATGCATAGAAATGTTAAATAATAAGGTTTTTTTTTTTTTTTTTAAACAAAGTGTCAAGGGTGGGATTCGAACTTCGAACCCACCAGGGTGAGGGGGGACTACACCTTCAAGGTGGTCCGAAAGCCACTTGACCCGAAGGGTTAGGTGCAATAAGGTTTTGGGACCATGATACATACACACTCTGTTACACACACCCTATTTCCTCTCCTTTCTCCTTCTAGCTTGCCATTCACTATCCTCACCAAATCCATCTTCCTCTCACCTCCATCCTCATCTTAATCATTTGCAGCCTCATCTTCCTCTTCATCATCATCATTAGTTTCACTGGCACAGAGCATGAAGCTGAGCAAGTGGGAACCTGCCAAGGAACCCAGATCTGGTGTTGGGGAAGGGGAGAGAAAATGAAAAGGCATGGGCTACAAGTGCTTGGAGCGGCCTTGACACTCTCCTCCAACTCGTCACCCTTCTTCCCTTCACAAACATACCAAAAAGAGCAAGACATATTTGCAGACAATTTCAGAAGATGATTTGAATTTCCGAGATAGGAATTGAAAGGAATTTTCCAACAGACGACGACATACAAGCTTAGGAAAGCAGGCGCTGTTGGGTTCCTTTGATTGACCCAGCAACAGCCGAGCAAAAATGAGAAATTAGAAGAGAAAATGTCCAGATCTGGTTTTTTTTTTTTTTTGGTAAAAATCCAGATCTGGTGTTGATTGAGGGATAGAGAGAGAAAGAAAATGAAAGGAAGAAATTGTAGGTTTCATTATAGGCATTTCACCATATCTTTAAGGGGATGGGTCTCAGTGGATGCATTGTTCTGGTATGACGAAAGATCGTCACTTCATTCAATTTCCACTGCAATTTCCTTTTTTTGTTATTGTTTCTTATTCCTTGTCCAATTTTTGACTTTTCTATGAATTTGATTCGCTACTTGGAGCGGTGGCGCCGGCGATTACCTCCTCATACAGAGGAGGTGAGTTTGGGAGTTAACGGATCATAACGGAAAGTGAGTGTGTGCAAGGAAGTGTGTAACGGAAGAGTGTGTTCGTAGCATTTTCCTAAGGTTTTGTTTAGTATGGTTATAAGTTACTAGTTTTGATTGCTACTCCCTCTATCCCAATATAATTGTTATTTTATATTTTTTTCCCAAATTAAAAATTATAAGATAATTTTTGTATTTATCTATGATACTTTAAAAAAAGGAATAAAAGATAAAAGAACAGCTTTTTGTGATTAGATAATTAATTAAAGTGAATGGACAATAATAAGATCAAAATAAGAAATAAAAATTTGTTTATCTTAAAAGATGAAAATTGAAAACTAAAATTAAAAAATAAAAATACCAGTTTATTGAGTATAAACTTTTAGTACTAATACCTAAAACTAAAAACTTAATTAATTTATAAAACTTATTAATTTTATTTTAGGATATCTAAATTTTTAAAAAGCAAAACAAAAATGAAAAACTATAATCATATTAAACGGAGGCTAATTTTCATTGTTCAATGAAAAATCAAAACAGATATATAGAGTGAGAAATTACTTGTGGTAGAGAGGACGGCCATTAGAAGGCTGAAGATGAGCATTGTTGATGCCATGAAACCATGTTTACTGGCTAAGGATGGTATCTTAGCCATGATAACTGAGAGAGAGAAATCTATATGTATTGATCAAAGGAGGGATGCATTGCCACACACTTCTCAGCTTACCTTATATAGGCCTAATTTCAGTAATTTGGTGGAAAAGTCTTCCACAATTAATGAAAGCTTGCGTCATTCAAAGTACTAGAAAATTGTGGAGAAAAGGGAAGCAGAAAAGAAATGTTTTACTTCCTCCCTTTAGTCCCGATGTAAATAATTTATCTTTGACGAGAAAGGAAGGATTAGAACTGCGGTAGCACCAAGATTGAAAAAAAAAAAAATAGTTGAGGTGGCACAAATTCATTTGGGAACACCCTAAGATATAATTTATGTGAAAAGAAGAAGAAATATTTTGCTTCCCAATTATTAAGATTAAAAAATAATTTATTGACAATTTTTCTTAATAATAAAATCTTAAAATATAATTATGAATATATGAGATTACACGCAAGGTTTATAATTGTGTGAATTCGTTTATTATCTTAACCGTGTA